CCATATTTTCTTTACCTATGAATCCATTGATTGGCATATGGGCTGTTTCCAAGATTTAGCTATTACATATTGTGCTGCTATAAATGTGGGTGTGCATATATCACTGTGGTATGATGCTATTAACTTGTGATAGCCAATCTGACTCCATTTGTGTAAAGTGGAGTGACTCTGGGTGGTAGCCTTTCCCTTCCATCCTTGGAGTCCCCTCAGTTAATGCATGACAGACTGCCTCATTCTGTTCGATATGGCAATCTACAACTATATGTTATTTTTATGACCTCCCCATTTGGTAGAGCAGTGTGCAGCTATATGTTATCTTTGCATGTGTGTGATATTTTATTTCAACTAAACTATGTGGAACCTCCCCTGACTCCCCAGTAACTTAGCAATGTTTGGGTTCTGTGAAATTCAGCTTGTGCTCCCCCTCTCACTGAGCCCTCCCGAACTCAATGAGATGCTTAAAAGATCCCCACAAGCCACTATGCCTCATTGAGAGCTTTCAGGCATGAGCCAGTCACGAACCCTGACAATAAAGGATTCAAATTTGGCTCACTGTGCTGGCAATTCTCTATAATCTCTTGCAATTTAGTATAACAAACTGTTTTAGGAAGATCCTAGAAGAGGAATAGCTGGGTCAAATGGAACCTTGAGTTTATTTGATGAACAAAGTCCAGATCACACAGGAAATATTACAAAGAATCAACAACTTGGATCTCATCTTATTAAAAAGCTTTTGCATATCAAAAGAAATCAGAGTGAAGGGCTAGGGGTTTAGTTCAGTGGTTCCAGCACCTGCCTCACAAGTGCAAGGACCCAAGTTTGATCCCTGGTACCAAAAAAAAAAAAAAAAGAAAAAGAAATCACAGAGTGAAGAGAAAGCCCATGGAATGGGAGAAAAATTTTTAGTTCTCAGATAAAGGACTAATATGTGCAATATACCAAAATTCAGAAAATCAGATCCCCTCAAATATAAAGATCTAATCTGTACATGGGCATCTGAAATGAATAGACACTTCTTGATGAAGAAGTAAAAACAGCAAATAAATATTTGAAAAACATGTTCAATGTTACTGGTCCTCAAAGAAATGCAAATTAAGACAATGCTGAGATTCCATCTCACTCCTGAAAGAATAGCTATCATCAATAACAAATCAACCAATAACAAATAAGAAATCAACCAGTAACAGCTGCTGGTGAGGCTGTGTGGAAAAGAAATGTTTCTCCCTTGTTGGTGGAAGTGTAAATTGTTAAAAATACTGTGGAAATTTGTATCAAGATTTTTCAAAAGACTAAAACTAGAGAGCAAGTTTTTAACAGCATTTTTTTTTTCTTGGTACTGGGGATCAAACTTGGGTCCTTGCACTTTTGAGGTAGGTGGCAGAAACGCTGAGCTAAATCCCCGGCCCTGAGAGCAAGTTTTTAAATAATATTTTACTTAGACATACTATCTGTACATCTTTGTGAGGTGTTCTATGGTAATTTGATACCTATATACAATGTGTAACAATCAAATCACGGTCATAAGCATTTCCATCTGTTCAAATATTAATCATTTTATGTGTCAGAAATCTCAAAAATTTTTGCTCATCTCAAAGTATTTCATAAATCATTTTAATCCATAGATTCCCTACTATATTATAGAAAAAAAGAACTGATTCTTCCTCACTAACTATGCCTAGATGGATAATCAAGCCACAAACTGCATTGCTGAGTAAGTAACATAGTTTCTGGCCAACTATGGACCTTGTGCAGGAATCTCATTTGACCGTGGCACCGAGCCTGAACCCTAACAGGCCACAGTGCACAGTGGGCAGTACCAAACATCCCAGAAAACAGGAATGAGATCTACTGAACACAGAAGTAGTAGCCTTGCCTTGTTTGGTAACCCATGGGTTCCATCCTATGGGCCTGCCCAATTGTATTTAACAGCTTGTCCTCATCTGATTTCAGAACACAGTCCCTGGCTCCACCTGAATGCAGCATCCCACCAGTAGTACTACCTGGCCAGGTGCCCAAATCCTTAGGACCCTACTACACAAAAGTGATTGTGGAGTCCAGCCTGAAGCACTGCTCCCATGTGGAGCATGACAAGCATCAATGCCCACCAGCAACACAGCCTGAACTCTTGTCTGGTGAAGCAACTTCAAATCCCACCAGAAAGTGGTCCTGCACCACCAGGGAGCACAACCAGCAGCCCCATCCAACTTCAGCATGACCAGTAGCCCAAGTCAATCTGAAAAGGAAACACAGTACAGGATGGACTAAGCAGCAAAGTTCTGTTCCCACAAAAGTGAAACTATAAGACTGGAAAAGGTGGCTACTCTCTCAAATGTGCAGAAACCAATGCAATGTAGTGAGGATCATGAAGAATAAACCATTAGATGAAACCAATAAATCTCCAATAATGGTCCCCTAAAGTGATAAATACCTATAACTAACTAATAAGTAATTAAGGATAATCATCTTAAAGAAATTCAGTAAACTACAATGAAGTTTTTTGTAGTGTTAAGGATCAAATAGTGCCCTGTCCATGCTAGGCACTCTACCACTGAGCTACATCCCCAGTACGGCTAGTGAGGAAATAGCAACAGTGAACACAAGCAAACAGAAATACTACTACAGATGGTAAATAAAATGATCAAAGTGAAAAAAATCAACAGATAGCTTGAACAGTGGACTCAATCAACCAAAAGGAAGAAACAGTGAAATGAAAGACAGGTCATTTGAAATTATCCTGTCAGAAAGGTGAATGAAAAGAAAAACAATGAAATAGTGTAGGAATCTTACACAATCTATGGAAAATTATCAAGTCAAATAGCATAGCCCTTCAGAAAATTGGCATAGATGGTTTTTATCTCAACTTGTTAAAAGCCATCTATGAAAAACCAACAGCCAACATCATACTAGATGGTCCAAAACCCTGAAATCCTTCACGCTAAAATCAGAAACAAGACAAGGCTCTCCACTATTACCACTCCTGTTCAATATAGTTCTGAAAACATTAACCACAGAAATTAGACAAGAGAAAGGAATAAAGATAGGAAAGAAGTTAAATTGTCATTATTTGCAGATGACATGAGTATTGATTTTAAAAGATGTACTTATTCCTGTCCTATTATTTTTCAGTGCTTTATTTCTGTTTGTTTTCCCTTTGTTTAGCTACTCTCCCAGAGAGATTACTTTTCCTTTGACCTTGTGCATATTATTTTCCTCCATGTATTAGAATTCTAATATGTACTTTGTACAGTTCTAGCTTGTTTGGTAATTTGTTTAGTTTATCTTTAGCATGGAAAGTTTTTCTTTCTCATTTGATTTTAAATGATAGCATTACAGGATATAATAATTTCAATTGCAATTACTTTCTTTCATGGCTTGAAAAGCTCCACCTCTACCTCTCATGACAGGTGTTATCATGATGGGTTTGCCATGATAGGTGATTTGGTACTTCTTACTGACAAGTTTTAGTGCTCTTTGCTTTGAATTTCTGCCCTTTTAACTATAATATATCATGAAGCAGTTCTTTTCTGATTATGTATAGTGTCCTAAATGCCTCCTTTACCTGGATCTCTATATCATTCCTAAATTTGGGACATTCTTTGCAATGATTTGAGTGAATGACTATTTTTTGCCAATAACCTCTATTTCAATAATTTCATCAAATTTAATGATTTTTAAATTTGCTTTTTACAGTTATTTAAAAGCTCTTAGATTGCCTCCTTTTAAAATTATAACTGACTGAATGTTTCAGTGTGTTTACCTTGCATTCAAGTCCTGATAGCCTTTATTCTGATTAATTGTGCCTACTGCTGAGATTTCAATTGATTTTTCATCTTGATTCTTTTGAGTTTTTTTCTAGGATTTCTGCTTAATTCTTTATCATAACTTGTCTTTATTGAGGTGATCTTTCATATACTGAATTGTCTTTCTTAATTAGGCTGCTTACTTTATCTTTTATGATCTATTTAATCATTTTAATTATACAATTTTAGTACTTTGCCTGGATTTTAATCCACAGCATTGCTGTAGAATTAGCTTTTGATGAGGTAAGGATTTTTGTAGGCATCTTGTGGTCTTATCTCCTCATTGCATTTGTATTTTTTATGGGCCACGTGATTAAAATATGTAACAGTACCCCAAACGGTGGGCATCAGATGTTCTTTGCCCTTTTTGTTTCTCTGGGTTCAGATGGAGCCCAGGCAGTCCCAGGGCACCACATTCTTGAACACCTCCTGTGGAGGAAGACAGCATCACATGAGCAGAACCCAGTCCAGATAGTCAGTGGCTTCAGCCATCCACAGGCAGGTGGCCATGGCCTGAGCTAGAGAGCAGGAAGCTGCAGATATAGACAGAGACTTCTGCAAATAGCTGTTTTTTCACCACTGCCCACCAGTGATGTCCAACTTATACCTAGGACCTAGCACTGATGTGAAAATCAGTTTCATTTTCCCCATGCCCATCCTCCCAAACCTCCAGCACTAGCAGACATCTGAGTTCTGCTCATTCTGAGGTATTGTCTTCTTTCCAACCTCACCTGCCCTCTGCTCCTTTGCCCAGGTCAGTGGCACATTTCCTGGGACAGCTATGACTGGGGGCTCTGTGTGGGTGTCTGCTGTAGAACCCATGAATCTCAAATGCCTACAAAGTGATAAGGCTGGCCAGGTCTCCTGGGATGATGGCAAGGTGACAAATGCTCCTGCCTGCACCTCAGTGCACACCCTCCTCAGCCAGTTGGTCTGACTCCCTGCCCTGTTTCCCAATTGTCCAATCTCAGTTGACATCACAGTCACTGTGTGAAGCAGACATGTGAGTGCTCTGCCTCTACTGTTGACCTCTACCCAAGGACAGAAGTGGCTTGGGGCTGAGAGACAAGTATAGGTGATGCAGTTGGTAGAAGAAGGAACTTTGATCTGGTAATCTGGGAGTGTCAGGACTGAGGAGATCAGTGTGAGAAGGATGGGTGGCCCTCACCCCACCCCACCCCACAGAGCTCAGCTGCTCACCACATCCATCAAGTTCAGCTGCTCTGCCAGCAGCTTGGGAGAGAAGGCTAAGAGCACCTTCTGCAAGGACCTGTCCTTGTCAGTAGCAGCAGAGAGGCAGGAGTGCTGTGGAGCTGGCTTCTGCTTCTCTCCTGTCTCCAGAGGAGGCTCTTTCTCTGGTGCTGGCTCTGGCTGCAGAGCAGGTCCAAGGTGTTCTGGATATGGAGCTGGAGCTAGGAGGAGGAAAGCTCAGCAGTGTTAGTCACTTGCCCGTTACCTGCAGAGCATAGAAAAGACATCCTGGCCATTTGGAGGATTCCAATGCCCAACCAAAAGCCATGAAAGCCTTCTGGACTGCTGTGGCCCTCACCATCTGTTTTGGCCTCATGGGTTTCTAGATATTCCACCTGAGCAAGGGGAAGGCACAAGGGAGGCTCCATGTCTGCTCCAGGTGAGTTCACTTGCAAGCCGGCCCTTTTGATCTTGATTTGGGGAATGTCCGGTGGATGGTGCCATTCGGACCAGGTTTCCAAATGGGAGAGGTGGTGCTGGGGAGAGACGAGTGAGCAGCAGAGTCAGAGCCCTGGGCTATTCTTCCACCCTGCCTCTCTGAGACAGCGTCGTGTCTTGTGTGGTCCTCTGTGCCTCGGTGTAGAGGAAAGCTGACCCCACCCCAAGCCCTCTGTGACTGTCCTAGCATTGGCTGACTTTGTCCCACTAGGCTAATGCTAACATGGGTTTCCACTTCACACTGATGATCCTTTCCGAGCGAGGCAGGCACAAAACTCCGTGCACCTGAGCGCTCAGGGCTGGGCTCCAAGCCAAGTAGTCCAAAACAATCCGTACCCTAGCATTCTGCAATGTTTGCTGTACCTCCAGCCATGAAGTGGGGGTGGGGAGGGGGGCGGGAAAGAGCTCTGACACCTCACAGCCTGCCCCTGTCCGAGCAGGGCCCTTACATTCCCTGAGCGCGAGGGGAAGCACTGCCCGTGAGAGCTCACGGCTGGCGCTGACGTCCAGGATGGGCACTGGGCTGCCTCTCTCACATGTGGGTTCCTCCTGAACATTAGCCGGAAACATCTGCGGCCAGAGCCGAGCCAAGGTCGGAAAAGGCTCGGATTGCGGTCCTTTCTGTGGCTAGAACTTCAGAAAGTGGGAAAATGGCCATAGTTCATCCTCCCCTCTCCACTGCCTCCCTCCAAGGGGTCAGGATGGGAGACACCTTCAGAAGTGCGCCCAGCATCGCTGGGTTCTAATAGCAAAGAAGTGAGGTCACATCCTCAAAGTTCCACTACAGTTAGGGTGACGACGTGGCTTAGGACCAAGGGGCAAGGTGCAGTTTGGGTTGTGGTTTTTGTTAGGATTTTGTTGAGGTTTACAAATATATTTAGGGTTCTATTATGGCTGAGGGTGGGAGATTCAGTGTTAGAAATTAGGCCTGCAGTTTACATTGTTGTTTATTTTTATTGTGCAGTTCACAATCATTTGAGGAGTGGCTACATGTACATAACAGAGCTTGAAGGGCCAGGAATTTAGCTCAGTGGCACCATGCCTGCCTCACAAGCACAAGGTCCTGAGTTCAATCCCCGGTACCAAAAGAAGGAAAAACCAAAAATACCAAAACAACAACAACTCGTAGTACAGCTTATATACATGACGAGTTTTAGATTTATATACAATTAAGATGGCAACAGAGTTCTTCCATTTCTTCTTATTAATGTCATCCATTAGTCTAGTACATCCCGTACAAGTAGTGAGCAAATATTGATGTATAATTACTAACTAAAATCCACCTTCACCCCTTGCTCTCCACAACAATCTGCAGTCCCGTCCGGGCTGCCACATTGCATTTCACTGTCGCATCCCTCAGACGCCTCTTGACTGATGTTTTCACAATTTTTCCTTTTTTCGTTTTGTATGAGCTGACAGTTTTGAGGATGACTGATCTGATATCTTATAGAATGTCCCTAAATTTGTTTTCCTGATGTTTCCTTCCTGATTAGATGAGGGTTACATGTTTGGGTGCGTGGCTTTCCACAGGTGTTCCATGTTCCTGACTGCACTCTCATCCTGGGTCCTCCAGTGCACCTTTGGCTGAACTCTCACAGCTGCATGCACTGCCCTCTCAGGGACACCCAGCCTGGCCCACCAGGCCTTCATTTGAAATATGGGCAGAAGCCTTCCTGACTCAACTCTTGCATTCTGCATACCTGTGAAAACAGCACCCTGTAGATGACACAAAGTTCTACCACTGGCTCCAAGCAGTCCTTAGGCCTTTGTGCATCATGGCTGCAGAAGCATCCATGGGCCTGGATGGCTGAGCACCATGAACTGAATGAATCCCAGGGAACCCACTGAGGTGGCCTTTCTCAAGCAGGGTGCCCTGGGGCTCTCCTCTCAAAACAAAGTCTTTCCCTTTTTGCAACTGTGAACCTTGGAAAGGTTGGGCCTTGTGGGTTCTTTATATGTCTTCAAGGCATCTTTTCCATTGTCCTATTTTATAGCACTTGGATTCTTTTTAATGCTAACCTTTGATCAACCAGGCTATCCATTGCTCCATCTTTACATGCCTTTCTTTTTGGGGGAAACTGTAAAGTTTTAAAATGGGTTTTTGCTCCTCATTTTCAGCACAAACCTGGCTCAAAGTAGCAAGCAGCATCCATGCTACAGCCTGATATTTAGGCTACCTTTATATTTTCTCCATCAGATGAATGATTCTTCCACCCTTAGTATAAGTCTCACACAAATCTCAGGACATGAACACAATATTGACAAATTTTCTGCTGGGGCACAACACACATGGCCTGCATCCAACTGCCACTGGCATCCTTCTTCTCAACTGAAACCTCCTAAGTCTGGCCTTTCTCATCTGCAATCTATCTGCACTCTGGTCTTCTGAGCTCTGACCAGAATCTTCCATCCAGCTCAGATGATAGCATTCTAGGGCTGCTTCTCCAGCTGGCATCTCCAAACCTTTCCAAACTGCTGTGGACCACTTTCACAGGCCTCTGAACCACCTGGGGAGGTACAGTCGCTGCAGTGACCAAACTTCTTATACCAATGTCTGTATCACTCACTTTCTTGTCCCTGAACACAATACTCAGCACTACACATTAAGGGAAGAGAGGTTTGTTACGGCTCTCATTTCAGTTCATACGTAGTTCCAGGATGGCAGGATGGCATGTCAGAGGTGCACATTGATAGAAACACTGCTTGCCTGGTGGTGGCCAGGAGGCCCATGGTAAAGTGTGGGCCAGGGAGCAAGATACACACTCCCAGGTCACACCTGCGCTGACCCACCTCTTCCAATCAGGCCCACATCCTGACACCAAGCCTGGCATAGCAACCCCATCACCCAGCCACCCTCTGTAAGCCCTGACCTCTGGGTGCAAGGGGCTTGAGGGTGACATCCAGATAGAATATAACCTGTAGTTTCCATAAAAGGATGCAGTTTATGAAAAGTGACCTAAAATTGTTATAAGAAAGCTATGAACTACTTAGAGCATAAAACCTTACAATTTATTGAAGGCAATTTTCTTTTCAGTAATGTACATTATGATGCACAGAATGGGAGTTAGTACTGATGATGAGTCTTTATTTTCATGTTTTGCTCCAATACCCTGTTCTGTTTGCAGTATTAGTTTGGTCCTTGAAGTATTTATAACTGTGGTATGAGGGCACAGATGGGTTTCTGAACTGTGCTTCTTTCCTCATTTGTCTTTTGGTCACTTGTACCTGCATCAACAGTAGATATGAATTTCACATAAGCATTTAATAGTGATAATCAAGAATAGTGTGGCTATCAGGGCTATTTCAGCTTAGGTGATCTCAGACTGAATCGGGTGCGGATGTCAAGGAC